ACTCTTACAATTGGCCTCGACGAATTTTCATCGTTTGAAAACTTTCCATAATAGTATCAGTGTGAATGTCATAAAAAAATATCTCTCTCAATGTAGACAACCAAGTTATCATTCATCCATTCGGTTCCACAACCGATTCTTCATAATATTCATAGTTGAAAATACCCTCTCAACGGTAACAGTTGCAACAAGTAATAAGATTAGTACTAAAATCAAGCGCAAATACACCAATGGATATATTTTGTCTCTTCCAATCTCTACCATTTTCTTAGCAAGATCGGCAATTCCATTCAACATTGAGAACTCATTACTGGATAGCACATTATAACAAAAAAGGGTTTTTATGGCGTGCAATGCACGCCGTAAAAACTCTTTTACGACAACATGCTTCGTACGCCGTTAAAAACTATTTAACGGGAGATTGTGTGTTGTTGTTACTTTTTCTACAACGTGCTATAGTACGCCGTTAAAAATTATTTAACGGCAGATTTTGTGCGTCGTTACTTTTTCTACGACCACTTTTGCATGCCGTTATGTGGTGGGACAAATAACAGCGCTGATTGTGCTCCGTAAAATATATAATATAACAACTTGCTCAGCCTGCCGTAGATATGTGGAACATACCACGGCATACATGGAATGCTATGGAATATTTCATATAATGACCTAATTTGCTTGCCGTAGAATGTGCATTTTTTTTTAAATTTTTTAAATTCAACAGGTTTTATTTGGCCTGTTTTGTACAATCTAATATTACAAACAAGCTTCACAAAATATCAATTAATCACAAACATATTATTTCAACCATAAAAAATAAACTATATCTATAAATTATAAACATTCAAAAATTGTCAATATATACATTCCACACATCCAAAACCTAATTGCAAGTTCGAAAACATCCAAAATGACAATTCTTAAGTTCTAAATTATCCAAAAAGTTATAAACCATCCAAAACTGTACATATATAAGTTTGTAAACATTACCCAAAACTATTCAAAAATTATAGAAATCTATTCATCAAAGTCCCCAAAAACTATCCATAGATGTTAGTTCTACTCAAAGTCAAAGCTAATGAAATAGGTTGGCCAAGCAACAGTGCTTCCAATAGCATCCTCAAGCACAAACATCTCACAATTAGGGTGAAACAATGGCGCATTGACTATGACATGGTTAACCCATACTTTCCAACACCTAGGGCCAAGAGGCACGTGGTGTACCAATACTTTAGAATCTGTTGATGCAATTGTGCCTTCCACAACCATCACCTTTGTTCCATCCCAATTCAACAATTTGCATTTGGCATTGTCCAAGGATCCACCATTTCCAGTTTCATTTGCGTCATGCAACTATCATGAAAGCAACTAATGTAGGACAAGATTTTAAGACTTTTTGTATTTTTAGTTTTAATATTTTTGATAAATTATTTTATTAGGAATCTTGTAATTTAGTATAAATAATTTAGAATTATTAGGTTTCTTAATTTTATTATTTTAGAATTAGATTTTGACTAGGATTTTAAATAGTTAAGAATTCTAATTTCCTATTCTCTTAGGTCTCCTAATTTATGTTGATTTAAGTTTCCTAGTTTATTTTAGAATTATTTTTCTTATAAGTATTAGATTTAGTTTATTATAAATAGCTATGTAAGCCTCATGGCAAAGAAAATTTTTATACAACTTTTATTAATTCATTCAGTAATATTTCTCTTCCTTGTGGATTCAAGGTTCTATTTTTCTCGTGGATTCGAGAGTCCCTTTCGTCTACTAGAACGATATCTAGTCCCCGTGTATTCCGCTGCGTCAAGTGGTATCAGAGCATGAATTTGCCTAGCTCAATTACACAAGACAATGGAGCACATACAATCCCTATTGACGTTGATCGTAGGGTGGAAACCATATGGGATGCGATTGAGGAACATCGACTAGAGGTGCACGAACTTCGCAATGAGATTTGTAATCTACTTGCCGATTTGGGGCTAATCGTCAACCAGAGGCAACCAATAGTTGACAGCAATTGCGCCGGAGGATTCACCCGAGGCCAACCTGTTAGCTTACGTTATTTTGTAGAAATTTCATATTCTAACGGTTCAAGTAAGTTTCAAAAAGAAGATTTTCTTGATTGGTTGCTTGATCTTGAAAATTTCTTTGAAATCATGAAGATTCCTCATGAAAAGAAGGTTATATTTGCATCCTACAAACTTGATAAAATTGCATTGAAGTGGTGGAATGGATTACAAGATTATCTAGTTTGCAAAGGTAAAGACAAATTTCATTCATGGTTAACAATGAAAAAGTTTTTGGCAACAAAATTTTACTTTCATGATCATGAAGATATATTGTCATATACAAATCAAGATACGTCCATGGAGCTAGTAAAACATTGCCATGAAATTGTAGTTGAAAAAGAAAAGAATTCGCGTCAAAATATTATTTGTGGTGAGAATGGTTGTAAAACTAATGAAGAAAATACAAAGTCTTGTTCGAGTGTTGATAATGCATCAGCACATGGTAATTTGAATATTGAGGAGAAAGTTTTACAAACAAGTCATAAAAATATTGAAGAAGAAGGAGATCTGATTGAGCTCAGTAATAAAGAGAAAATAGAAGAAGAGATAATACAACCGCCGTGTGCAACAAAGAAATTGGTTGATGCTACACTTAATATTTCAAGGTTGATAATCAAAGGATCAATTGAATCTGGGATGGTGCAACATCAAGAGAGCATTCAAGTTCTACATGAAGTAAACTTTGTTGATTTTCTTAGTGTTAAGCAATTTAATTTGATTTTCAATGCTTGTCTAATTAATTTTGTCAACCAGTTAAAGCATATAGAGAAGAACCTTCAGAAAGAAAACTTTCCTATATACAACTTTTGGAAGAGGGGCAAGCAACTGAAAAATTCAAAATATCTGTTTATTTGGCATGGAAGATGGCAGATCTCTAATATGAACTTGAGGGCGAGTTCATTCAAAGAAGAGGAGACTGATGTAGGACAAGATTTTAAGACTTTTTGTATTTTTAGTTTTAATATTTTCGATAAATTATTTTATTAGGAATCTTGTAATTTAGTATAAATAATTTAGAATTATTAGGTTTCTTAATTTTATTATTTTAGAATTAGATTTTGACTAGGATTTTAAATAGTTAAGAATTCTAGTTTCCTATTCTCTTAGGTCTCCTAATTTATGTTGATTTAAGTTTCCTAGTTTATTTTAGAATTATTTTTCCTACAAGTATTAGATTTAGTTTATTATAAATAGCTATGTAAACCTCATGGCAAAGAAAATTTTTATACAACTTTTATTAATTCATTCAATAATATTTCTCTTCCTTATGGATTCAAGGTTCTATTTTTCTCGTGGATTTGAGAGTCCCTTTCGTCTACTAGAACGATATCTAGTCCCCGTATATTCCGCTGCGTCAGCAACACATAAGATAAGCTAATGAATTGAAGACAAAATTAAAGTTTTTATTAATGCCATATAAAATTTACCCAAATATCGTCATTGTCTTCATTGTTTTTGTCACCCTAAAAAAAATGTAATACAATATCAAGTTATATTTGTTTTTCCAAATTTAGTAAACGACGTGGGATGCAAATGAAAATTTGACAAAAACTCTTGAGTAGAAAAGCCAGCAAGCAAACAACAGCAGAAGCACGAGAAAAATGCAAATGCGTAAATTAATAACGCCATACAAAATTTACCCAAATATTTTGCTGTTAGTGCATCCTACGTTCATCACCTCCATGCACCCTATGTTCACCTCTACCGTTTTTCTCACCATAAAAAAATTGTAATACAATGGCAAGAAGCATTTTTTAACTTAAATTTAGAATCTTAATGTAATCCATATGCAAAATGACAAGCTTGAGTAGAAAAGCAAGCAAGCAAAAGCACAAGCATGAGAAATGTGCAAGTTTACCTAGGTTTCTCCATGTGAGTGTCCATTTGCCCCTTTGCTTGGCTCCTACAAGTATTCATCAATTTTTTATTTTTACAAACTTTGTGAAATATCCTTATATCTAAGATGGGAAGCACCAAAGTAAAAAATAGTTAAATTTTATAGGAAGACAAATTTGTTCACCCAAGTTGAAAGTTCGTGAGCTTTTAATCTTTTCCCATATAAATAACCCAAAAAAACTCACAAATTAGTTACCATGAATTTTGGTGGCTCTAATCTTTTGAGTTGAAGTGAAAAATTCAACATGGACAGTTGGACAATGATTTCCCATTCATGCACATGTTGCTGGTATCCAAGTTATAGGTCTAGACTATTGAAATAGGTTTGTCAGGCGCACTATGCTGTTTTTGTTCTGAGAGCATTGCTCTCAATATCTCCATCACATGTTTAACTCTGAGTACAATAGTCTTTAGCCCATGTTTGATTTCACAAGACTAATAGTGAAGTATTAATAATCCTATTAAATTAGTGTGGTATTAATTATCCAATTAGATTAGTAGGATAAATTATCCTCTTGTCCATTGTTTGATTTGCATGGGATAAGAAACTTATAAATGTAGGATTACAACTATATTTATTTTCTTTTCCAATCTTACCCTCCATCAATGTTTCTTTATAATTTTTACTTTATCAAAATTTCTTCATAAATGTGATTTTGAAAAAAATTATAAATAAATAAATAAAAGCAAAATTAAAATACAAAATACAAAGGCCATGTTTGGTTTGTTTTTTAATTTTTTTTAAAAAAAAATATATAAACGAATTTGATAAAATAAATATAAAAAAATATTTTAAAATTTATAAAAATTATTTTTGGCCTTCTAAAATATAAAATTATATAGATTTAATAATAAGTGTTTTATTTTTTTTAAAAAAATTTCTTTCACCAAATTAATTTTAAAACAAGTTCATAAAAACCAAACCAAACATGACCACCACCAACCCACCCACCCACACAAAATGGTAATTAAACACATGCAAACATGGCCTAAAAGTACACATGCAAAATTATGTTTGAACATAGATTTGTCTAAACACAGATTATGTTTGATTCACCCATCAAGACCATACATAACAGATTATGTTTTTTGTTTTTTTGATCCACCAATCAACTCAAGTTCAATATTCAACTAAGAAAAGCAATGTTCACAATAGTTTGTAGAACAGTGATGTGTGTAAGCTAGAAATATAGCATCTCCAATATCTTCTACACAACTAAATTCCCACATTATCAAATACTATTATATATTCTATTGTGTCGAATAAACCACGATCCCCAACATGTGTACTCATATGTGCCCTCCCAACAAAAGACATACCCACTCTAATTTGTCGGCATCGGAGAGACTGAAAAAGAAGTCAACTCGCTGAGCATCTTTGACAATGAGAGAACCTGCTGTCAACCTTTGAGTTGATGTAAGGGGGAGCTTCAGAAGTTCAGCATTGACACTCCTCCTAGCTTGGGATAAGTCATGTTGATATCCAATCCTTTTAACAATCTCACCCAATCTAGTGTCCGTTTTGTCCAAAAAAGAGCCAAGTGTCTCTGTCATTGTAGCAATATTGCTTGCGATTCCTTCAGTAGTCCTCGCTCTTTTTGTTCCTCCCTTGCTAAAGGTAGAAGAGTTGGATGCATTTCCATTTGTAGACATTGAACACTCGAAGTCAGCAACATTGAATTGCTTAGCTGGAGAACCATCACCCTTCTCTCCCATGGCTTCCTCCACAGCAATTGCTTCAACTGCATCTGCAGGATCTTCCGCTAACTCACCAGTGGCTCTGTCTTTGCCAAAGAGAACAAGCCAATCTTCATAATATGGAAATGACTTGTTTTGCATAGAACTCGCACTTGGTTGTCTCTACACAAGTTCAAAAGAAAGAAAGGACATTCAAGTATGCTAAATGAGATAAAATTGAAATGAAGATGAATAAGATATCTAGTAATTATGATGAGATGAACACTAAAAAATTGAAGAAAAAAACTTACCCGAACAAAGTTTTCCCAAACCTCATCACTGTCAACAAGAACCATCTTCTCAGTGTCATTCCATCCAAACCCGCTAAGCTTAGTCATTTCATACAAAAGGCCATAGTGTTTCCTCCAAATTTTTATCTTTGACTCAATGTGAGGACAAGCACGAAGGTCACTTCCAGGAAAAGCCATGACAATTCTCTTCTCAAGTTCGCCATAAAACCCTGACTTAAATTGCCCATTGTCAACCTTCCATTTAGGATTATTACACAAATCTCTCATTGCACTTATGAGAAACAACTCCTCCCTCTTCGTCCAAATCCTACGACTCCCAATTGAACCAGCATCTGCCTTCCCCTTACTTTTCTTTCGAGAATGACTGGTAGCAACACTATCCATGCCTATAATAATGATGTACAACACATATTATTGATTTAATAGCTCATTCTAATATACAAAATACAAGTATGGAAGACAAGGTAAAAATATGATTGAAAAGTGTGCATGAACTATATATATATATATATAAAAGCACTCTTGATATTAAACAACTACTCAATCTACCTAAAATATAGATATTATTATGCAATCATGAAAGCAACAAATGGTTCTCCATGAAATAAAGATTAAAACAAATAAAATTGATTAGCTTGAAAAATAAATCCATCTCAACTACGTAAGATTCTCATTACATATTTTTCAATTATGAAAATAGACGAGATTCTCATCATTACAAATAAAATATTTAAATAAACTATCTCAACTACGGAGGATTTCCACCAACTCCTCTATTTGCTTGCCATTCATTAAACATTATGTTTGCCAATGTATCCCTCCAATCACTCCATTGATTTGATGGCTCTACTGTATTGATGAACTCTTCTCCTAAATCAGGTTGAGGTATAGGAGTGTTATTTAACTCGAACTCAAATGGATCCACTGGCATTTCACGTCTGATGAGGTTGTGGAGAAGGCAACATGCAGTAATAATACGACCCTGGGTCTTGATTGGGTAGTACGAAGCAGTTCTCAATATTGCCCACCTAATCTTGAGTAACCCAAAACACCTCTCAATAACGTTACGAGCAGTAGAGTGCTTCATGTTGAAGAACTCCTCAGGATTCACTGGGATACCCCCTTCTCTCCATGTAGAGAGGTGATAGCGTTGCCCTCTATACGGCGCTAAGAAACCCTCTCCATTAGTGTAACCCGCATCTACAAGATAGTAGAAACCTGAAAACAAGTATGGGTTTCATATGTATAAGTACTTTAAAAATTGGGCAATTAAGATGACATCAATTAACTATATAGATTCTTACCCGTCGGCACCTTCAAACCATTTGGTCTATTCACAGCATCTCTAAGTACCCTAGAATCTGAAGCTGACCCTTCCCATCCAGGCAACACATAAATGAATTGCATGTCTTGGGAACAAACACCCAAGACATTAGTAGCAATTTCACCCTTCTGTGTTCTATATCTTGGCTTATCTATTGCAGGAACACAAACCCTAACACAAGTTCCATATAGAGCTCCAAGACAATTCTACCAAAGGTCAAAATAAAATAAGGTTATTCATTTTAAATATGTTAGTGTTTGCCCAAAATCTAAATGAAATTAAACTATGTAATACCTGAAAACACCTCCATCTATCATCTGTGCAATTTGCAGTTATTGGCTCTGGTGTCTTAAGTAAGACACCTTGTAGGCGTAAAATAGCCTTCAGGACATCGTTAAAGTACTGACTAACTGTTTGCCCAGACTGCATGAAATTGAACTTGATGTTGCGATTCTTATAGTCGTGTGCAATCACATTTAAGAACATTGCAACTTTCTCCTCTAAGAGGACATATTTGGAATCAGATAATCCCACACTTCGAACAAGTGTACAAAGACACATGAAGGTATGCCTATTCACTCGGAGTTGTTCATGACAATCAATATCGCTATCCTTCACCAATCTATTCAAATAGTCTAATTGTGCTTGGAAGGGATGTGGTGACCTTTTAATATCCAACCTAGATTGGTACCTCTCCAAGGCAACTTGTAGTACAATAATGTACACACCACATACATAGTTAATAGATGACACAACTTCTTGGAGTGCTACAAATGCTTCAAATAGGTCCATCGTACTGTCCGAGCATTCATTATTGTCCATCTACAAATGCTTCAACTAACACATCAGATCTAGTTAGTGTAAGAGATTAGAACTACATGTATTTCTGATGAGTACTGAAAGAGCTCCCAAAAGATTGCATTAATTCAAATCTAAACACATTCAATATGATTACAATTTTTTTCTTATGCAAAGATTTTTTTTGAATTTAAAATAGCAAAAGAGAAACATATCATATATTTAAAAATTATAATGAGCAGTCAAATTTGCAGAAATATAATAAGGGCTATGAAAGAAAAATTCATAAGGTCATTATATGGTTAATAAATACAAATACAATTCTACTAGATATACTGAACAAATGTAGGTTATGCTGAAGGATAGAGGGGTGTACAAATGAACTGATTTATATATATATATACACTACATTACATGGTGTTGTTAACATTATTAATGGGAATGGCTGTTTTTGCTCAAGAAAATTAAAGAGGCCTTTATTTTTAAAATAAGGAAGTGGAAGGACCATATCAACAAAATTAATTAAAATTTTGTCCATGGGACACCCCCAATCCCCATCCATACATGAAAATTGAATGAGTCCATATAATTTTGTCCATGGGACTTGAATGAGTACTTTTTTTTATTTTTTTTTTATAAATGTTTCAAAAAAAAATTATAATTTCTGTTCTGTGAATGGTCCTAGCTGGGGCTGCTTTTATTGTTTTCTTGATTGTTCAAAACAATGGATAGAATAGGACCAATTTTCATTTGAAATGTCATACAAGCAGACCAATTTTCTTTATTGCTTTTATTGTTTTCTTGATTGCTTTTATTGCTCATATATGTTGTATATTCCACCAAATATACTTTCAGATTTTCTTGTTTGTTTCTTCTATAAGAATATAATTTTCTTCTTTGAAATTTCAGCCATTGTATCTGCGGATAATTTCTTTTCTTCAGCAGAAAATGCAGATTCTCATGTTGCAGATAGAATACCCTCCATACCAGAAAATGTAAAAATGTTACTAATCAGGTTTATATTTTTCTCAATGTTAAAAGATACATTTAAAAACCCAAATATTTCTACCACTATTCAAATTCAATGTTTAGTACATGTCAACTCTCAATCAAAAGTGAATTTGGTTATGCTGTTTTTGTGAATCATCAAGTTCTTGAATACATTTATCCTAAATGATAACATTTTCCAAGTGAATTTTATCTTAATCGACAATGATTTGAAATGTAACTTTGGTTAACAGATTATGTTATGGGAATCGGATATGAAAGGTTGGGATGATATGATACCAGCTCATCTTTATGATGAGTTATGGGGCAAAAATCAAACTCATCTCACTATGCATTCACAAGTACACTTGAAGAAACAGTGAACATCCTTACATTTAAAAACTCAAAAAATCTGAATTTTAAAGGGAAAATTGATTTTCTTAAAGAAACAGTGAACATCCTTACATTTAAAAACTCAAAGACAAATCAATCACAATAAAAGGATTTCATAGTTTCAATAGAAAAAAATGACGGAAATGTAAATATTTATGTTCTGGTAAGCAGATCCATTTGAACATTTTTACTTGCTACAAGAAGAACATTCACAAATATCCACCTTAACAATGATCTACTTACTCCTTTTTTTTTCCTCACCAGTAAGCATTTAATGGATCACAACAATTTTCATAAGCATGTTCCAATTGTTTATGATGAGTTCTCACTTGAACATAGAATCAAACACATGGTGGGCAGAATTTTAACAATAGAATCAAACACAGATCTAGTATATAATATACCAAAACCATCAAAACATTGTAACAACTACATAGATCTATGTATATATACAAATACATCTCATAAATTCTGACAATGATGATTTATCATAAATTTTGAACCAAACATGTAAAATTAATTGTTGAAATAGATAAAATTCTGGAAAAATAAATGGCGAAGATGATAATCTCACCGGTAATGAGAGTTTTTCAGTGCCGACGGTGAATTTTCCGGCGAATGAAGGTTGAAATCGGCACACCGAGATGGAGATCTTCACGAAGGTGGAGATCCTTTACGAAGGTGGAGATCTTCTCTCAGCAAAGCTGCTGAGTCTTTTGCTGGGTAGAAATGATAGGATTTGGGTTACATTTCTGCGTATATAGTGAGGGTAAAAAAGTCATTTTACTTTATTTCCTAATTCAGGATATATAATCCCACCCCTACCCCATTATTAATAATCCTACAAATTTGTTGGATTAATTATCCATTGGATTAATAATCCTAAACTAAAATATTAAAACAAACATAGGATAGTTGGACCCACGGATTAATAATCCAAATCCTACATTCTAATCCATGGAATCAAACATGCCCTTAAAGTAATAACAATCCTCAAATGCATCCTATTATTGAGCAACTCAATAATAAAGAAGTTCTTAAAGTAATAACAATCCTTACCTTAAAGTAGGTGAAGTACCCACAGCCCCAAGTGCCAAAGCTATAGACAGTGAAAGTCTAAGCTTATTTCCCAAAAGGAGGGGGTATTGGTGGTAGAGTAGATAGAGAAATAAGAGGGCTTATGTGTTTTTGAACCAAACCATGAGGGGGTAAACTGTAATTACTCCTAAATTTAAATAGAGGTCTATGGACTGTGTAGTTATTTTCATAAAATTAAAAAAAAAAAAGAATTAGAAAAAGCTACCTGGGTTTCTCCATGAGAATTTTTCTTGCCCGTTGCATCTTCGCTTGGTTCCTACAAGTTTTAATTGAAAAAGTTTTAGGAACAGCTATGAAACATCAATATATATATATATACATATAACATATATTGTCACATTGTTCATATTTTTTTTTTTTTTATACCTTATTCGACCTTTTTCCTTTTAACATTTTAGCTTTCATCTCCCAAAGTTCATGTTCTAAGAGCAGCAATTTTTGATTTAGTAGTCTCATATTTTGATTTTGGTATGCTTGTGCATAAACTTTTGATTGCAATGCTCCAAATCCAAGCCCTCTTACACTACCACGCCGTTCTAGACCAAATGCTTGAACAATTGCATCATCTTTGATAGACGTCGACCCTTCTTTTGTAGAAGGCTTGTGAAGCTCTTGAACCTTGTTTTGCAATATATAACATTTATGATGAGGAACACAAGTCTGCTAACTACAAAAATAGGTGCAAAACTCACCTCTGAGTTACTTCATAAACTGAAAGGAAACACCACCCCCATTCTTTTTATTGAGCATAATTAGAGCATGTTGCTGACAGTAATGCTCAGTTCAAGTCTCAGGAAAACAATAACACTAATATTTCTTCTCCAATCAAATCCAAAATCCCAAAATCCCAAAATCCAACTTTGTTTAAGACAAACTGAACCTCTACATATCAAAAATAAAAAAATAAAAATAAAACAAACTGGCAATTTTTTCAACATCCATACCAAAACAAAACGGCACAGCAATAGTAGCCCAAACAAAACATCACAACAGCCCAAACAAAACAGCATATCAGCATATCAGCAGCCCAAACAAAACAACAGAACAGCAAACGAACATAGCAGCAGAGTAGCAAAGAACCTTATTGAACACTTGTACAATTATTTGTTGAATAGAATTGAGTTTGAGATATTCATATATTCTCAAATCTTAATTAACTAGCCCACTAGAATTGAGTATTGTTTGCAGATTACTATTCAAATTGGTGACTTCTTTAATATGCATTAATTGCTTTTGACTAGTTATCCTTTATGACTACTTCTTTCTTATGCCTAGATTTTTTGGCAATTTAGACCTTTGTGGTCGACAAATGAACAAACCATGTAGAACAGGCTTCCCTATTTATTTAGACATTTTTTTCTTCCTTGTTTATTTAGACATAATTTTTCCTTTTTTTTTGGCGTTTAGTATAACAAAAATAAAAGTCCAAAGAAAACTTTTTCTGTCATCAATGAAAAAAAAGCTGTTGAGAAGACTTCTCTTCTTCTTGGAAGAGTCTTCCTCACCAGAACTATTCATACAACCAGAGTCACAAATGTCAAAGAAGCAGAGTCCATTGGTTAAACGTATAAACTGGATTGCCACATGCATCAAAAGAGTTTAATTCTTGTAGTGAAAACCAGAGAGGTTGTATCTTCTTTCTTAAAGGAAATCACCATAACCATCTTGTATTTGGATGAAAATAGGATTAGATCACTTTCATTTCAGCAAGTGAAACTAATTTGTAAACATCATATCAGTGAATAAGTGATTAATCCATCTACAAACAAGGACACCATGTACAACCCACATGAGAAAGTAGAATCCAACCAGGAAAAAATAAAAAACCATAGCCACAAAGCAGCATGACAGCCCAAACAGCAACTGCACATAACCAGCAGTAGCCCCTTGAGACCAGCTCCAGCTGAACCTAAGAAAGACCAGCAGCAACAAACTCCAAAAAACACAACACATGCTGCACACCAACACACTGCAACTGTAGACAAAGGAAGCTAGCAATAGGACACCAACAACAAAAACCAACCCCTTAACACAGCACTAACAGTAGAACACCAACACAGAAACCTCGATCTACTACACAAAATGCTGTGGTGTCAACAAGCTCAAATAAAATTTCTGCATCCTTGGGTGGTAAAGCACCAAATAACATTCGCTCAAATTTTGTTGTATCTGAGGGGCGGGCCTTAGTGAACATGGAAGCATCCACGGGATTTGCCACTATGGTGTCCCAACCATTGGCTCCAATTGGCACTCCTGCTATGACTTCTGATGTGCAGGCTGATAAAAGGCCTCATAATATCAAGTATGTGTTTTTTAATAGATACTAATTGTTACCCCTCTCCAAAAAAAGTACTATCTGTATACAGTTGGGTGACTAATGTTGATATGCTGTTCTTACAGGTCCCTCTAAACAGGACCTACTTTTGCCTTATCTAATGGTGGAAAAACCCTAGGCGCATGCCTAATGTTTGAGACCAAGAACAAAATTCTGGATAATGTTCAAACATCTTTGGGCTCTTGGGGTAATGCACACATTAATCAACAGGTATGTGAAACCTTTGCTCTTTGCTCAATGGTGAATATCTGTTCCTTCTACTATTATATGTTAGAACATAATTCAAACGTGGGCTAAAGGGACAGCTGTAGCAGATCTGATTGTGGGACACCTGTTGATTGTTGTTCTACAAATATGTGATGGTGGACTTAGTAGTTGAGAGTCTTTAGGATTAGTTACCTAGTGGCTGAGAGCTTTTAGGTGTTTTATTATCTGTTAATGTAATCTAGTAGCAAAAAATAAGGAAGTAGTGCATTGTGTAGCTAACAGAAGAGTCTAATTATTTTTAGGCAGGGTCTGCAGCCATTTGTAAACACTGCAATATCCAATAAATTCTAGTGTTTCTTCCGTAATTTTTTCTAACATTTTGGTATTAAAGCTAGGTTAGAGTGCTTTGTTAGCATATCAGTGTTCTGGTCACTTCAAGTTATGGCTAGAAGCAACATTGTAGGAATCTCCCCTCAAAATGTTCCTTTCTTTACTGGTCTTAATTATTAATTTTGGGGTATCAAGATGAAGACGTTATTCAAGTCCTATGATTTGTGGGACTTGGTGGAGAATGGCTTTGTAGATCTTGCGGATCTCGAGCAAGCTACAAGGCTGAGAGCAGTTCAACGTAATGAGCTAAAAGAAAAACAGCGGAAGGATGCCAAAGCTTTATTTCTAATTCAGCAAGCTTTGGATGAAGCCATATTTCCAAGGATTATGGCTATCTCCACATCAAAGAAAACATGGGATTTGCTTCAAGAAGAGTATCAAGGCTCAAGTAGAGTTGTTACAGTGAAGCTGCAAACTCTATGTCGGGAATTCAAAAATTTATCAATGAAGTCCTCAGATGCAACTCAGAAATTTTTCTCAAAAGTTACTTCTACAGTGAATCAAATTAGATCACTTGGAGAGGAATTGACAGGTCAGAAAATTGTTGAGAAGGTTTTGCGAAGCCTTCCTCCCAAATTTGATCATGTTGTTGCAGTGATAGTAGAGTCAAAGGACTTGTCTGATTATTCTCTCCATGAATTGATGGGTTCTCTACAAGCACATGAGCAACGGCTGAACAGAACAATAGAAACTTTTGTTTAACATGCCTTCCAATCAAGGCTTGATTTGAAGAAAATGTTAGATGGCTTGGGACGAGGAAACAATGGAATGGGATGTGAAAATTCATTGCATGGAAGAGGAAGAGGTAGATTCAATGGCTAGCAGAGAAACTTTAATAGAGGTAACAATGCTACTCTTACTCCATGTTCACATTGTGGAAAGACAAATCATAAAGATAAGGATTGTGGGTTTAAAACCAAATCTAGCCAAAATAAAAATGCTCCACAATGTTATAATTGTAAGGAGTTTGGTCATGTTAAGAAAAATTGTTTTCACAAGGCCAAGGAGCAGGCCAATTTTAATGAAGTAAAAGATGTATCTGAAGAGAATTTATTTCTTACTTGTTTGGCTGCTCATATTGATATGTCTGAAGATATTTGGTATCTTGATAGTGGTTATAGTAATCACATGACTGGTAATAGAAATTTCTTTGTGGAAATTGATGAATCAGTGAAGACACAAGTAAAGATGAGAGACAACAACCATGTTCAGGTATACGGTTTAGGTACTATTGCTGTGATTTTAAACTCTGAGAGAAAGCTCATTCATGGTGTTATGTATGCTCCTGGGTTAGCTCAAAATCTGTTGAGTTTAGGCCAATTGATGAGAAAAGGTTATTGTGTTACCTTTCATAATGATGAATGCATGATATATGAAAAGAGGAGCATGAACTTAATTTACTTAGTCAAAATGACAGAAAACAAGATGTTTCCTCTTATGTTTTCAAAGGTTTCTGTCAATGCTTTTAGTGCATCAAGTAGTGATTCCATGCTTTGGCATAGAAGATTTGGTCATTTTAACTTTGGTGGGCTGAATTTATTGCACAAAAAGAATATGGTTTCTGGCTTTCCAATGATTAAATTTGATAGGGAAATATGTGAACCATGTATTTTTGGAAAGCAACATCGTGAAAAGTTTCCAGTAGGTAAATCTTGGAGAGCTACAAAGAAGGGGACAGCAGCCTCTAGACCCAAAAATGCAACCCTCAACCTCTGAAAACAAGACCCAAGAACCTCCAAGTGATGATGGAAGTGTTGGGCCAAGAGTTGTAGTTCAAATGGCCAAGAACTAGACCCTTTTGAACCCTCTAACCAACACAAATGTAGAGAGAGAGGGAGTGATATATATATCTTATATATCAAATTTTCTAACCCCTCTAATGGAAGGAGAGGCTCTCCTTATATAGAGAAACCAATGGGGCAAAGCTTCTCTTAGAAGCTTTGACCAAAAAGGCCAAGCTTCTCTTAGAAGCTTGGAGCAAAAGGGCCAAGAAGGCCAAGCTTCTTGGAGAAGCTAGACAAAAGGGCCAAGCTTCTTGGAGAAGCTAGGCAAATGGGTCAAGCTTCTTGGAGAAGCTAGACAAGGGTTCAAGAGGTGCAAGCTTCTCTTGGAAGCTTAGAAGGGTTCAAGCTTCTTGGAGAAGCTAAAAAAAGGGTCAAGCTTCTTGGAGAAGCTAAAAAAGAGGTTCAAAAGGGTCAAGCTTCTTGGAGAAGCTAAAAAGGTTCAAGCTTCCTCAAGAAGCTAAAAAAAAAAGGTTCAAACGGGTCAAGCTTCTTGGAGAAGCTAAAAAGGTTCAAGCCTCCTCAAGAAGCTAAAAAAAGGTTCAAGAGGGTCAAGCTCCCTCAAGAAAAGGTCTCGGCTAGGAAAAGTGGCCGATTGATCAGAAACAGTGGCCGGCCGACCAAACACAATGCCGACCGACCATCAATAGTGCCGACCGGCCATCACCAATGGCCGGTGGCAAGGAAACAAGGCCGGTGGCCTCAAGCCACGGCCGGTGAGGTGTGGGGATGGCCTACAAGCTACTTCCCACCCTCAGAAGCAAAACAACAAGTGTTTGGTGCAAAACCAGACACAAAACAGTCGAGTCGAGAGATCCTGAGGCAGGACGCGTAACCGAGACCTCCGGGAACTCAAAACGAACACGAACAAGATGATCACCGAGTGTTCAAACGGTGACGTCCAAGTCTTGAGGACGGTCAAAAATGGGGTGTCTACAGATAGTGGTTATAGTAATCACATGACTAGTAATAGAAATTTCTTTGTGGAAATTGATGAATCAGTGAAGACACAAGTAAATATGAGAGACAACAACCATGTTCAGGTATACGGTTTAGGTACTATTGCTGTGATTTTAAACTCTGGAAGAAAGCTCATTCATGGTGTTCTGTATGCTCCTGGGTTAGCTCAAAATCTGCTGAGTTTAGGCCAATTGATGAGAAAAGGTTATTGTGTTACCTTTCATAACGATGAATGCATGATATATGATAAGAGGAGCATGAACTTAACTTACTTAGTTAAAATGACAGAAAACAAGATGTTTCCTCTTATGTTTTCAAAGGTTTCTGTCAATGCTTTTAGTGCATCAAGTAGTGATTCCATGCTTTGGCATAGAAGATTTGGTCATTTTAACTTTGGTGGGCTGAATTTATTGCACAAAAAGAATATGGTTTCTGGCTTTCCAATGATTAAATTTGATAGGGAAATATGTGAACCATGTATTTTTGGAAAGCAACATCGTGAAAAGTTTCCAGTAGGTAAATCTTGGAGAGCTACAAAGCATCTAATGTTGGTGCATGCTGATGTATGTCGTCCAATGCAAACACTCTCTTTGAACAAAAGTAAGTATTTCTTGATCTTTGATGATGATTTTTCAAGAATGACTTGGGTATATTTTCTAAAAGAGAAATCTGAAGTTTTTGAGTGTT